GAGCCAAAGAGCCATGTAATCCTCGTTTAGGAGATACTTCCGTTTATAATGCTCTGGGCATAAGTCTTTGGATGAAGATCATGGTGGAGGCTTATTCAGCTCTTCCATGCCATTGTTGGCTACAATTATTTCTCAGCTTCTTGATAGTCAAGTGGAGATTCACGTCTTATACCTCACATAAAGTGGTTTCCATTAGAAACGATCAAATAAGGGAAATTGAACTTGTGACGGTTCAACAATCCATTGAATTGGAGGGACCAAGATTGTGATTGGTGTTATGGGAATGAATTATCCATAAACATCAAAGTTAGAACATTCGAGTTCTAAGACATGGTTTTCATGAAAAAACGTCGAGTTTTCATGGGTGTATTTGTTTTATGAAAACTTCGGGTTTCAACGGCACTAAATTTGAAACTACAGGTTCAATTTAGTTTATGAACGTTTAGTTCATAAAAGAGAGGTTCCTGCAAAAACACAGAATGCAATATGTTGATTTAAGTGTAGTGGATTTGAGTTGCTTTGGGAACTCAAGTGTGAGTGCTTCGGGACTACGAAAGTGAGTTAACAATTCAAAGAAAAGAAATAAAATATTGAATTGTTAATGTCCAAAAGTGATCTTTAGGTCAATAGTTTTGGATGTCTTGTTAGATTAAAGGACTGCAGGTCACTTTTAATTAATTCAATAAATTGGGACCATTCGGGGTCGATTGTAGAAGCAAAAATAATGATTTCAGGTCATATTCACTTTAGATAGCTTCAGGCCAAATAATTAAGAAAATATAGCCTTGTGTGGCTTTAACAAAAAACATCCATAATTTTTTTTAGTATAGTTATGGAACAGGAATGCCAAAAACAGGACATTGGGTTAAAAAAAAAAATCATATCCCAACACGTGTGGGTTGGTTGTGTGAAGCACAACCATACAACAAGCTGCAGGCCTTGGGCTACATAATATGGCTGCACAACAGCCCATAAAAGCACGCAAGTTGTAAGCTTGCAGCAGAGGAAAACAAGCCCAATAGGGTTGTGAAGGAAAAAACCCTCAGCCTTAGCTAGGTATGGGTTAAGTGTGCAAGAAAAGCCCAGTTGCACTGGCTTGGTCTTGGCGCGTACCTGAGTGTGATAGGTCCAACGAAAAAAATTGCTAGTATGTGGGCCAAAAGCTGCAAGCTTTCAGTAAGGAGCCCAGGCATATGCCTAATTCTTACACACATGCAACAAGCCCAAAAAGGCTGCTGCTTCACATTTCCAGTGTCTAAGCCTCGAGCTGCAGGCTCGGCCTAGGGTGAGGTCGGTGTGGTGGCGTAGCTCTAAGCCGCGGCTCAGTCGTAGATTTCCCAAATTTGAATTTCCTCTTTTTATTTTTTTTCAAATTCTAAGTTTTGTAAAAAGAACCAAAATTGCTTTTATTTTCTTTCAATCGACAAATATATGAAACATATGCAATATATATCGGAAGAACAATATAAATGTAGGGGGTTCATGCATCATGGGGAACGTTTTCATGCTTCATGGTCGTTTCAAATATCTTCCTTTATTTTAAGTGTGCTTGATTAGTAGAAAACAATAAAAGCCCTTGAATCTGTAAAAGATCCTTCTCGGAAAGCCTTGCATCTCCAATGCGTTGTATCACGTTCAACATAGAAAAATTAAAATTGAATCAATAGCATGTAGATCAATTTAATAAAATAATAAATTAATCATAAAAAGAATGATTAAAACGTAATATTCCCCTAATTGAAGATCAAACTCTTTTTAGCGCAACTTCAAGAGCGTGCTGATAACGTGTTGTAGGCATAATTTACTAAACAATTAGCGAGGCCATAGAGAGAGGGGTGCGGCAATAGTTGAGAGAAGAGAGAGATGTGTAATTTTGAGGCGTGTTGTATTCCACCCCATTGTGCTTTTTTTTTTTTTTGGTAGCAGTAGGATTTACCCTTTTAGGATTACAACTCTTCATAGGTAATCAACTCCTAATAGGAATATAAGAGATATTCCTAGATCCACTAGAATTTACACAATCACATTCCTAATCTAATACGACTGCAACATTGTGAGAGTTTTAAATAAAAAATTGATAAAATTATATTTAAGATTTGCCATGTGGCGAGATTTGATTGAATTGTAGTGTCACTCAGCAAATCCAGTGGCAAGCAAAGCCCTAAGCAAGTTTCTCCCAATCAATAGAAAATAAGCACGTTAATCAATACTTAGTAATAATCTAATCGCCACTTAGTACCATGATCTAGTGATATTCCTTTTTACTTGTGTAACGACCCATCCCCAAAAATTACGATTTTTCTAATTTTAAAACGTGAATTTACGAAAATACCATTCGAGGCAAATACGTTGACTTTTGTTGACCGCCTTGTCGTGTCACGTAAGATCTGTTTTCTTGGCGTATCATCATAGTACTCGTCGCTACGAATGCATGGGCACAAACGGAACACAATTTGGAGTTCTAACGAAGGAGTTATTAATGAAGTCGATGACAAAATGGTCAATTGATCATTTTCTAGAAGGCTCCAAATTGTTGGTGCAAAATTTGGGAAGCCATGTGTGTGGCCAAGATTGAAGGAAATGAGAGAAATGGACGGTGGAGATGGAAAAGAAAGGAGAGAAAAGGGAGGAACCAGACCAATGAGAAGGAGAGAGGTGAGGAATGAACCAATAGGAGGGGAAAGAAAAAGGGAAATGAAGGAAGAGAGAAAAAAGGGAACGGGCTGAGTTCCCATTGCTTGTGACCCGACCCGTGCCTGCAACAATTTTTGACGGGTTTTTGTCCATTTTTTTCAACGATTCATGGCCTACCACCCATACCAAACACCTACCCAACCTCTCATCGTTCATTTCCACCCAAAACCCACCTAGATTGACCTAGTTTGAGGAGAACATAACTCGTGGGTTCCTAAGGTGTCCTGGTGAGATCCGCCAAATTAGAAAGTTCCAACCACCACCACCACCACCACCATTAAAATCCTCTTGAGACATGGAATAAAACCCAAACAACCTTGGAGGTGGCAGATCTCCAGAGAAGTTGAATCGAAGCCACCCATTTTTAAGGTTTCCGGCGGGTTTGAGGAAAATTGGGGTTTTTCCAGACCAAATTGGCTTTAGTCACAGGTATAAAAGTTGTTCCCCTCATTGAGATCTTCATTCCTGTAAAATTTGGGAATTTTTGGAGCTGTTGGATTTTCTGACGAGTCGAGGCGGTCGGTAAAGGAAAACCCCGAGGTTCCTCCTTAGGTTTTTCGACGTGCCGAATCCGAATCCGGCATCTATTTTCCTAAATTCTATCGTTTAGGTATAGTTTTACTAAAGGGTCTCTAATTGTGTTTAGGGGCGTTGGCGGGAAGAGACGTCATCCTCACTAATTCGAGCAGTTTTCGGGCAATAAAATCTTTGAGTTGACCCCTTCTTAACTTACCTATTTTTAATAAATATTAACCTAGCATGCATTTCATATTTCGTGCATTTAATATGTTTTATATTATGTTTTTCCGATTTCTATAATTATGGTTTAGATAGAATTCATGATTTATTTAAATTGCTTTACGGAATATTTATAACTTATTGAATTTACATTTAATAACGGTTATGAATTATTGGAATTGCATATATGAAACTCATTGGATTTAAGAATATGTTTTTATATACGATTTATGAAATGAGATTTTGAACCATTGAGATTTGGTGATTTGGCTTGAGATTTTTAGGTATGTTTTTAGTACTTACCTAGTGGGTTATCATACGACACATCTGCATGCCACGGGTATAGATGTCTATGGCCATAGGACACAGATGATGGAGAAGTGAGATATGATATATTACATACCCTCAGCTTCACTGCCGAAAGCAGTGTCAAACAACTTCACTAGCCACGACTAGTGTCGGTGTGGATATGTGCTACTTTATTCAGCTTTACTTTCGAGTGATGGATAGGTTATTTAGCTTCACCTTCAGGTGATGGACAGGTTATACAGCTTCACCTTCGGGTGATGGATAGGTACTGCCTTCAAGCGACTATGATACCCTAGTGAAGTACTTCACTAATGAGACTTACGGATTTACCTTTGGGCGATGTTTTTAGCATGATTGAGCACGGTTTTACATGTACATGTTTTACGAAGGCTTTGCATGGCATGCTAGGATTTTTATAAAACCTATATGTAGTATTATATATATGTTTTCAAAACAGGGGGTTACTATGTTCATAAAGAAAACGGTTTTTCTATTATTAATATTATAATTATAAACTTTGGTCTACTCATCTTTTCTGTCTTTGCGCCCCCTCAAGAGTTAGTATCGAGGCACATAATCCCGGCATCAGGACTTTACGACATAGGTATCATCGAGTTTTCTCAGTACAGGTCTCATTCCTTTATTCGTATCTTTTCCTAGTAATTCCTTCATATTATTCTGGTTTAGTGGTATGCTTTGAACACATTTCTACTTTGGTATAATAGTTCTAACTACATATCTTGTAGTTGTATGCATGTTTAAATGGCTTCGTCACTCTCGGATGTCGGCCAGCACATGCCTACCCTGGGGATATTAGGATTGAGGCATGTCAACTTATAAGTAAAAGATCTTAAGTTTGATTTTCATTAAAAGAGAATTTAAACCACAAGCATGAATTTCGTTTGCTATTCAACATCACACATTTTAAAATTTTTTGGTCAAACGGAATCCAGGCTTGTGACGTTGCATTGATCCTGCATCTTTGATTTTTTCTTGCAAAATCCCGACTTCTGTGCCGGGGTGGCCCTTTTGATCACTCCAAAATGTATTATAGCCTTCAATTATCTAAAAGGAAAACTGCTATTTGTCGTCGATCTGATAACACGAAATGTGCTTACAGCGTACGTCAAGGAGATTAATAAAAGAGAATTAAATAAAATGTGTACACCGTAATTATGTGAGATACTGGGACCTTCAATTTGTTATATAATGGGGTGTTTGATTCAGAATGAAAAAACAACAATTGTAGTCTTGAAAAACTGCAGGAGTGAAACTGATAGAAGGATAGAATAATAGCAGGCAGTGGTTGAATTGTTTTCCGTTTTCATCAACAGCAAAGAAACCAAAATATATACAAATACAACAATCCAATCATGTCTTCTTCTACGTCATAGAAAAAAACTAATATAAGAAAGTAAATATTCTACAGTAATGATGATATATTACAAGGATTCTACAATATATTACAAGGATATTTCTTAATAGAACTCACCGATTGTCCATGAGCATGAGTACTAGCTACAAGGTATGTGTTATAGGCGGTGCAGGCTACATTGGTTCTTGGCTTGTCAAGCAGCTTTTAGAAAAAGGATACACTGTCCATGCAACACTCCGCAACTGGGGTACGTGCGTGACATTTCTAATTGTCAGATTATGAATTAGAATCGTTAATTTACAGTCCTCATAGAACATAATATGTTTCTCGTCTCTCCTGCTTTCTATTTTTCTGTCTCCTAAAATGAATTTTGCTTTTATGAAATATTGACAGATGATGTGTCCAAAGTGAGCCTTCTGAAGAGCCTTCCTGATGCTGATGATAGACTAGTGCTGTTTGAAGCTGACATTTACAACCCAATTGAGTTTGAGCATGCAATTGAAGGCTGTGAGTTTGTTTTCCATGTAGCAACTCCCTTACAACACACTGAAAATTCCCAGGTTTCCCCCTTCATGATCTTGATATACAGTCCTATAGTTTAACACATATTTGATCCAAAACCTATTTTCAAAAGAGGTAATTTGCTCGAGATAACAAAACTATTTTCAATATTAAGATTGGGTCAATCCACCTTTTGTCGTTTTAATGCGAGGTCAATTAAGGGAAATTCTAGCAAGTGGTATTGACCTTTAGCTAGATAGAAAAAATGTTTCTGATAACCTTACTTGAAGAGAAGAATTGTTTTTAGAGAACTTTAACGAAAAGCTCCCGATACTGTTTACTTTAACGAAAAACCACATTTTTACACTAAAAAGTCAATCATGATACTATTCACTTTACCCTTTATTTTGTCCTTATAGTTAAAATTCAAAATTTTCAAGCATTTTTCGTTAATTTTCCTTTGTTTTTATCGATGTATGCTAGAAAATGAAATGACCATGGACTTATGTTTAAATATGAAACTATTTGTTGATCTAAACCAGATTTCCTATTTTTCCTATTTTAAAATTTTGACATTTATATATAATGTGATCAAATTACTGCAAAGCAGTACAAGAACATAAAAATTGATATTTATATCTAACGTGATCAAATTGCAAAGCAGTACAAGAACATAACTGAGGCTGCCATAGCTGGGGCAAAGAGCATTGCAGAATGTTGTCTTAAATCAGGAACAGTTAAGAGGCTAATCTACACAGCATCCGTGGTGGCTGCATCTCCACTGAAAGAGGATGGGAGTGGATTTGGAAACTTGGTGGATGAAACCTGTTGGACTCCTCTCAGTCTTTCATTTGCTGGTTCTAATGGTCATCGTAAGGTACATAAATTTCATAGCCTTTTCTCTTGGATTTTTCTTACTTTTAGTTTATCATTCTCACGGAATCGATGTTGGGGAGAGAAGAATTGAATACAGAACCTCAAGTACCGGTGTAAATGCTCTTAACCACTTAAGTTACGAGCCCTTGCAAATTTCCTAGCTAATCATATATTTCTCCTCTAAATTCAATGTTATGCCAAATGTTTCTGTTCGGACTTTTATGGTCTGCCTTACGCTATCTTTTCAATTATAATTGCAGGCCTATGTGGATTCAAAAACACTTGCAGAGAGAGAAATCTTGAGCTATGGGAACCAAAAAAATGGTGGACTGGAGGTTGTGACTCTGGCCTGTGGCCTTGTTGGGGGTGATGCACTTCTGCCTTTCACATCCTCGAGTGTGGCTGTTTTTATTTCTCAGCTTACAAACAGTGCAACCGAGTACCAATTACTTAGATTTCTGGAGGAATTGGTTGGGAAAATTCCTATAGTACACATCGATGATGTGTGTGATGCCCATATCTTCTGCATGGAAAAACCTTCAATAAGTGGTAGATTTTTGTGCGCAAGTTCATATGTTTCATCAGCAGAAATTGCTACTTACTACCAACAAAACTACCCAATATTTCAAGTGAAGCCAGAGTATGTAGCCATCTTTTTTCCAAAGGTGTTTTTTCAAATTTTTTTTAAGATTAAACTTCAAGATTAATGGGATTCTGGAATTCGGTTTCAGGTATTTGGATGGACCAAAAAGAGAAATTGTCTGGGGCTCTACAAAGCTTGAAGAGAAGGGTTTTGAATACAAGTACTGCACCAAGATGATATTAGATGATTGCATAAGGTGTGCAAGGAATAGAGGTGGCACTGACTTCCAATGACAAATGGTCCAGGCTTGTATAGGAGCTTTTTATGTATACTATCAGAATTGAATTTCGAATAGCAATTTGAATTTACATTTAAACTTTAAATTATTGAATGAAAAATCACTTAATTAGAATGTTTTTACGTATTGATTTTACATATATAAAAGGTCGTACCCAGTGCACAAGGCTCCCGCTTTACGCAGGGTCTGGGAGAGGTGAATGTCGGCTAGCCTTACCCCCATTTATGGAGAGGCTGCTCCTAAGTCTCGAACCCAAGACCTACCGCTCATGGGCGAAGGCACTTGCCATCGCACCAAGTGCGACCTCTTATTGATTTTACATATTGTAGACATCGAAATTTCGGTAAATAAATGTTGACCGATAAATCAAAGTGTCAACGCTCATGTATTACATAAATTTTACACGTAGCGTGTGACTCAACGAAAATTGAAATGAGTTGGAAAAGTCATCAAATAGGACACGTGTCAACACCTGGCAGAAACGACTTATTTCATCTGGAATATTATATTCAAAATTAGGCCTTGGAAAATTCTATAAATACAAGCCCATTTCATTCATTTAGGAGGAAACCAAAATCATTAGGCAAAATTCTTGAAGCTCTGAAGCTCTGAAACTCCGAAACTCTCAAGCATCCAGGTTCCCGAAGAATCAAGAAAGCGTTCTTCGTTCTTCGTTCATCGTTCTTCCAAGATCAAGCCCCAAAGGCTTTTTGGATCAACAATCATCCACCAATTCAAGATCAAGCCCCGACGGCCCTTGAAGAAAGTGTTCTTCGTTCTTCGTTCATTGTTCTTCCAAGATCAAGCCCCAACGGCCATTTGGATCAACAATCATCCACCAATTCAAGATCAAGCCCCGACGGCCCTTGAAGAAAGTGTTCTTCGTTCTTCGTTCATCGTTCTTCCAAGATCAAGCCCCGACGGCCTTTGGATCAACCATCCACCAATTCAAGATCAAGCCCCAAAGGCCCTTGAAGAACTTCCACCAATTCAAGATCAAGCCCCGACGGTCCTTGAAGAAAGCACCATCGTTCATCATCCGTTCATCCAAGATCAAGCCTCAACGGCCCTTTGGATCAACAACATCAACGAATCAACACAGCCACCGTTCTTCAAGATCAAGCCCAAAAGCCCTTGAAGATCCGCTCATCACCATTATTCAAGATCAAGCCTCAACGGCCCTTGAAGAAACACTCATCCTCAAGATCAAGCCCCCAACAGCTCCTTGAAGATCCGCTCAAATCCACCTTCAAAGATCAAGCCCACGGCCCCTTGAAGAAACTTTGAACAGTTCATCCAAAATCAAGCCTCCACGGCCCTTGGATCAACCAAATATCCATAAATCAACACCTTACGGAGATCGAATCAGAGGATCAAAATAGAGAGAGATTGTAACCCAAAATCATCAAATACAAATATTTGTTTGTGCACGTTGTTCTTGTCTCTTTCGTTTTAGGAATTTTCCGTGTTCACAAATTGGCACGCCCAGTGGGACTTTCTCTACCTCTCATCTCTTTCTCCGTTCAAGAAATTCGAGCACACTTCCAAAATTAATGGCATCAAGGAAGGCTCAAACTGTTCCCGCAACTGGCGCAAAGAACAAGAGCGTCCTCGTCGCAAGTGGTGTCACTTTAGGCATCACGACTCGAAGCAAGGCAAGAGCTACTTCTGCCGCCTCTTTCACCTCTGCATCAACTCTGCCAAGGGAACAAGAGCACCCAAGGCACAAGCCTTTGATCACCTTAGCCTCACCAAGGGCACCAAGGGGCGAAAGTCCAAGGAAATACTCTGAATCCATGCTCTCCGATGCGGATTCGAGCGGCAGTTCAGCCATGCAAGTCATGACCATTGGAGCAACTTCAGTCGATGAGCAGCTGGCTCAAATGAATGAAGCAATTGCAAGGCTAACCCGAACTGTGGAAGAAAAAGACTTGCAAATTGCAGCACTAGTCAACCGATTGGAGGCACAGGACGGCGAGAAACCCGACCCAGAAGATGAGCCTACGGTGGAGAGAATCGATGCGAAGCCGGAGCCAGACCAAGCGGCGGCACTCATGGGATCTTTTTCTATCCAGCAGCTGCAGAAGATGATCACCAACACCATCAAGGCACAGTACGAAGGGAGCTCACATACCTCCTTGTTCTACTCGAAGCCCTACTCCAAGAAGATTGATGCCCTAAAGATGCCAATGGGTTATCAACCACCAAAGTTCATGCAGTTTGATGGAAAAGGAAACCCGAAACAGCACGTTGCCCACTTTGTTGAAACTTGTAACAACGCAGGGACCGAAGGGGACTACCTTGCCAAGCATATTATGCGCTCGCTGAAAGGAAACGCCTTTGAGTGGTACACGGACCTAGAGCCTGAGTCCATCAACAGCTGGGAGCAATTAGAGTGGGAATTCCTCAACCGCTTTTATAGCACCCGCCGCACTGTGAGCATGCTAGAGCTAACGAGCACAAAACAGTGGAAGGACGAGCCAGTCATTGACTACATTAACAGATGGCGCACTCTAAGCCTCGACTGTAAAGACAGGCTCTCAGAAACCTCTTCAATCGAGATGTGCATCCAAGGCATGCAATGGGGTTTGCAATACATCCTTCAAGGCATTAAACCACGGACCTTCGAAGAATTGGCCACCCGCGCCCATGACATGGAGTTGAGTATCGCCCATCATGGGAAGAAAGAACCGATCGCCGACTACAAGAACGACAAAGTTCTTGGGCCAAAGTTGGAGAAGACTGCGTGGAAATCCACCAAGGAAGCAATGACGGTCAAAACAGCTCCCGTCAAAATCCCTACACGAGGTAAGGCGATTCAAACCGAAGCTTTTCGTGATCAAGAGATGCGTAGACGCACTTTGAAAGAGCTTGAGGAGAAGACTTATCCATTCCCCGACTCTGATGTGGTTGCCATGCTGGACGACCTGTTGGACAAGAAGGTGATCGGTTTGCCTGAGTGCAGACGGCCGGAAGAGATGAATCGTACCGACAGTCCAAGATACTGTAAATTCCACCGCTTCATCAGTTATCCGGCAGAAAAATGCTTCGTGCTGAAAGATCTCATCATGAAGTTGGCTCAGAAAGGAATCATCGAGCTAGATCTTGACGATGTGGTGAAGTCAAACTATACCACCATCACTTATGGCTCTTTCGACACAAAGTTTTCACCTCAACCGTTGGGGGCATCCTCCAAGACAAGCAAAGTTGAAGGATGGACTCAAGTCACTCCTAAGAAATTACACAAGAAGCATACGTCTCCTCCACAAGTCCGCCAATCGGAAAGGGGGCAAAGCAGCTCTTGTCAACCTTCAAAGCAATGTGAACGTGTTGAAGATGATGAAATTGCAACACAAAGATCGTCCGTTGCCATCACGATGCACGACTTCTTGCCCGAAGACTTCTTCAATCACGCGGTCAAAACTCCCTGCTATGAAAATTGTGAGGAACGCCTCTCCCAGATTGCTTGACAAAATTCACAAATGCTCCTTGTTCGCACGAGCCTAAACTACACGAACCAAAGCTCATTGTCCGCACGAGCCTAAACTGTAGGACACGAAGCTCCTCGCCTGCACGAGCCTAAACTGCATGGCACAACGCTCCTTGTTCGCACGAGCATAAAAGGCAACACCAACGCTCCTGGTCTGCACGAGCATAAAAGGCAATACAACATTCTCCTCACCCGCACGAGTCTAAACTGCATGGCACAAAGCTCCTGGCTTGCAAGAGCATAAACTGCGTACGGCACAAAAAAAAAAAAAAAAAAAAAAAAAAAATGTATTTGAACTACGTTACGACTTGATTTCTTCTTTGGAAGGGTACGTAGGCAGCTCGAATGTTCAATTTTTCGAGTTCAGTCACATCAAAATAAAAGAATAAATGTTTTATTAAAGAAGGTCAATTTTATTACAAATTTATTTTGTTAAGAAAATTTGCAATTTTCTTTGTACAAAATTAAATTACAGTTTCTTCGAGAAAAAAAATGAATACATATGTTATTATGTATTTACAAAAAATAAAAAAATAAAAAAATAAATATGCATTTGAACTACGTTACGACTTGATCTCTTTCTTAGGAAGGGTACGTAGGCAGCTCGAGCATTCAATTTCGAGTTCAATCACATCAAAATATAAATAAATATATATATATATAAATAATTTTTTTTTTTTTAAAGAAAGTCAATGTCATTAAAAAAAATAAATAAATTACATATGTTATTGTTATATTATATATATATATATATATATATATATATATATATATATATATATATATATATATATATATATATATATATATAAACTAAAAAAATAAATATAAAAAAATAAATAAAAATCACTCTGCATAGTTGGTCGACGACAGGTAGGTTCATTCTGACATAATGAAGAACAGTGAGTCAAACCCAAACTCAGAAGCTTCAGGGTGCCGGGCTGTGATAGAGATAAGCATCAGCAACCCGACTGTCAAGCTTCAAGACAAGCTGTAGGGACTTCAAGAGATCACTGCGTTGCAGCCATCACCGTTCCGTCGCCTGCTCGCATCGACGAGTGCAGCTTCGTCACCGACACGACCAAGAAGGTCTTCAAAAGCTTCTACTCCAACGATGATGACAAGATCTCCGTCAAACAATGTCCTCACGGCCCTCAAACTCAAAGTCAGGACTCTTCATCACCATCTCTGCAGCTCTCCCCTTCTGCCCATCAGTTCCAAGCAGAAACGACAAGCAGCAACGGCGACGGCAAAGTCTCCGACATCAAGGTTCTCTGCCTTCGCGTCCTCACCAGCATCGATGAAGCTCGCTGCCTACAACTCCAGCTCCGTCCCTTGCAGCAGACGGTCCACCTCTTGGGCACTCCAAACCAACAACAACGCCGCCGCCTCTTCTTTGCTCAACAGCTCCAGGTACGGGGCCCACCGGGAGCGCTCCCCAGGCTCCTCTCGTACATCAGAACCACAACCTCGATCCCTTTTTCTTTCCACTCCAACTGGACCTAGAGACTCTTCACCCTAAAAAAAAAAAAAGCAAGAACAAGAACAGCAACAACATGTTGCAAATGCCTTACAAGCATCCACCATCGCAACGGAGATCATTCCGTGCAGCGAGCAACGT